CAGTCCCACGATGCAGGGAACAAGACTGGTGAACCTTCGTAGCACTCCGTCTACGGCCAATAATATCATTCCTGAGATAAGGAGACCAAAACTGTACACAGTACTCTAGGTGTGGTTTAAATAAGCTCTTAATCAATTGAAGCAAGACTTCACTTACTTCTGTCCTCAAATCTTCTTGCAATAAAGACTAATATTTCATTAACATTCCTCATAGCTTGCTGCACCTAGAATTAAAAGTCTAGGGTTGACTGTGATACTATTGCCAGGAAAAGCCACCTATTGATTTAACTCCTGTCCTTTGGGAAGGCAACTGCTGTCCTCACCTGGTCTGGCCTACATGTGACTCCAGACCCACAGTAATGTGGTTGACTCTGGGCAATTAGGGATGAGCAATAAATGATGGCCAAGCCACTAATGTCCATATCCTTTGAATGATTTTAATAATGTAATTTCAATAAACGGTGGTAATATTTTACAGTGATGATAGAAATAAAGTGTGAAATAAAGTGCAGCTGTTATTTTAATGGTCTATATTTGTCTTAATACTGTGCATATGTGTGTGTCATGTTTGTGTCTGAGTTGTGTGGTGTTGGTGGTGTGTTTGTACCAGTTGTGTGTTGGCGTCCTTAGTGTGTTGGAGTCAGTGGTTAATTAATGCCAGAGTTTTTTGGAGTCAGTGCTTAGTTGCTGTCAGAGGTGTGTTGGTATCAACAAACAGATCCATACAAAGATAGCAACTGTTTGTTAACGATTTGATCCAAACTGGTAGGAACCTTATTTTAGCTTGTGGAATCTTTCAGTGATATATTTGACCAACTCTAGGCTTCCCAGGGCATTGTCAGTCATGGTTAGTGAACTGTTTCCCAGCACCGTCATTGCTACTCAATAATTAGATGAGGGTTCCAGTGATTTAGCTCCCATTTTCCTTTCTGATCACCCCAAGGTTCAAGCAGCCTCAATTTCAGTTACCTTGCTTCACGTTTCATTGCCATGCTCCAAAACTAGCCAGTCGTACCTATTCTGCCTCTGGCATCAGGCCATATTGCTGTGGAAAACCCCCTAATGCCTGTCCCTCATAGCATGTATTTTGTGGGCAATGAAGATGGATTGCTAGCAAACAGGAATACAAACTGCCTGTTTTCTCAGGAAAGACTGCAGCTGTGGTCATGACTCAGAGGTTCTGCTTGGTTTTGGATGTTAATTTAATTATACGGAGAAATGAAATTACTAAAACTTCATTTTAAAGAACTCACGCAACAGGAACATGAAAATCTCTCTCTTAAATTTATATGACCCTTCAAATGCTCTAAATACACAGTGTTTGTAAAGAATATATCGGCTTGCTTCTCTGGTATACACCATTCACGGCTGGGTTAAAGGGAATTTTCAATTAGGATGCAAACGAGGTGGTAAGGTCTTCGTTGACTCAGATTTTCCACTTCCTGCCCCAGCACCCAGCTCCCGACTATGACTGCCACAGGATATCCTTTATCCACCCACCTTCCTCCTGTCCCATTTCCTTTCGGTCGTCCACAGTTGTTGCTCATAAAAGGGAGTCACGATGGAACATTAGTAAAGAGCTCAAGGCCTTCAGCTGCAGAGGAAAGGGTTAATAGAAGTCTCCTGTTTGCCTGGTTATACCTGAAATGCCTCTTTTTGTCGACTTCTGACTTGGGAAGGACTCCTTTTTGATGATGTGAATCCAAATCGTAATTCTGTCTTTTCCCTGTTCAGATCAGAAAGGACAGGCTGCACTTTCCCAATATTTTTGTTCTTTTTACCCCAACAATCTCCCCTCCCCTGAGTTTATTTTTACTGCGATAGATAGAGCTCAGACCTCTGAGTACAGGAGTTATGTTGAGGTTGTACAGGACGTTGGTGAGGCCTCTTCTGGAGTGCAATGTCCGGTTCTGGTCGCCCTGTTATAGGAAGGATATTATTAAGCTAGAGAGGGTTCAGAAAATGTTTACCAGGATGTTGCAGGAATGGAAAGTTTGAGTTATAAGAAGAGGTTGGAAAGGCTGGAACTTCTTTCACTGGAGCATAGGAGGTTGAGGGGTGACTTTATAGAGGTTTATAAAATCATGAGGGGCACAGATAAGGTGAAGGGCGAGTGTCTTTTAGATAGGATTGGGGATTTCAAGAATAGAGGGCATATTTTTAAGGTGAGAGGAGGAAGATTTAAAAAGGACATGAGGGGTAACTTTTTACACAGAGAGTGGTTCATGTGTGGAATGAACTTCCAAAAGAAGTGATGGATGCGGCTACAGTTACGATGTTTAACAGACATTTGGATAAGTACATGAATAGAAAAGGTTTGGAGCGATATGGACCAAGTTGAGGCAGGTGGGACTAGTTTAGTTTGGATTATGGTTAAAATGGACTGGTTGGACCGAAGGGTCTGTTTCAGCGCTGTATGACTCTATGCATCAATGAACAGAAAGCTTCAGTCTGTTCATAGATTAATGACCACCAGGTTCCTATCTACAGCTCATTACTCGAGAACAAGACTATTAATATTCGGGACTCCAAAGCCTCAATGGCAAATCAAACCATTCTGCATCATTAAGGTAGAAAATAATTCTTTACATATTTGTTGAATTAGTTTCTGAACTGCATAGGTTGCTGACAGTGCAATTGGCAATCCCATACAATGGTTGAATTAGTAACTAAATCAAAATTATAGTGCCTCATTTGTTTGCATCATTAATACAATAAATCTGCTTAATGTCATCTCTGAAATTTTTATCACATTGACTGAAAATTATTGCCTGCTTTTTTTTCCTCCCTCTCTTACTGTTGTGTAAATCCTTGCATCAGTTCAGTTCACAATCAATAAACGTGAGGGAGCTCCTAGCCACTTCTTCAACTATCAGAGAAACAATTGGGGAGTTATCAAATTCACTTGTCACATAGGAAGGAAACAAAGAGGAGGAAGCCTGGTTTGGGTCCACTCTGAGATTGCACCCTTCCACTTCCTCAAGGGGATAACTAGACCTCCACTCAATGTTTCCCAGTCCTAATCTCATTCCTAAAGCTAACCCTAACACCCAGCCCGATAAATCAATCATTGAACAAGGAGGCAATGGGTTCATGGTGTTATTGCGAGACTATTCATCCAGAAACTCATCTAATGTTTTAGGGGCCTGGGTTCAAACCCTGCTTTGGCAGATGATGGAATAAAGAATACCTGGAATTATGAATCTAATGACTGTTTTGGGGTAGCTCAGTGGTTAGCACTGCTACCTCACAGCACCAAGGACCCGAGTTTGATTCCAGCTTCGGACAACTGTCTGTGTGGAGTTTGCACATTCTTCCCGTGTCTGTGTGGGTTTCCTCCGGGTGCTCCAGCTTCCTCCCACAGTTCAAAGATGTGCAGGTTAGGATGGATTGGCCATGGGAAATTACCCATAGTATCCAGGGATGTGCAGGCTGGGTGGGTTAACCATGGGAAATGGGGGGAAAGGATGTGATGCTCTTTGGAGGGTCGGTGAAGACACAATGGGCTAATGGCCTCTATCTGCATTCTAGGGACTGTATGCTTCAATGATCTCATCTACGTCCATTGCCACCTCCGGCTTTGAGACAACAGCAAAAGAGAATCTACCGCCCAGTGTCAGCATTTGAAGTAGGAGATGGGAATGCTGGGCTCCCTCTCCTCCCCCAGGATTCTCGCTACCATCAATACCATGAGGAGCCAACTCTGTTGCTGCTGCCGTTGCACATGCTCAGAAGGCTGAGCCTGTTCTCACTCATTGTTTTTAGATCATTGAGATGACATAATAAGGTCCTGTGTACACATACATTCCTTCTGTAAAACTGGTGATAGGAGAATCAATAGATTCGGGGACTATTCAACCAGGATTTGTGGATGAAGGCTAGAGAAAGTGCAAAGTAAAAACAGAAGTTGAACAACTGCAAAAATGATCACATGAAAACTTTGAGTGAAAAAGGGTCTTGTTTCACATAAGCCTTTCAGAGTTCTAACCAAAAGTTTCTGGTCTGGAATTGTCAAATTAAAGCCTTCGCACTGAAGTAGTCTATACCCTAACCATTATGAACTAACTTCTTTCTCCTGAAGAAACCTTTTTCTTTGTATTGATTTTCTTTTGTTTGCCCAAAGTGTTGAATAATAGCCTAATTTACATCATAAACCAGTCAACAAGAAAAATCATCCTTGACTGATGCAAGGAATCGATGTATAATTTCGTCATTTAGCTTTTATTTGTCCCTAGATTTTTTTAAAAAGTGGACCTGTGTTGTGACCTAGTGGATTCTGTTGCCTGTAATGTTTTATTGTTAGTATGAAAATTTAGACCCCATGTAAATGCAGGTGCAGGACTATTTCCATTGTTAAATCCCTGAGTGCACCAAACACTTGGTCAAGCTTCGGTTGCTTGTGAAGACTCGATGCCTCCAAGTGGAAGCTCAACAACCTGAGACTGCCTCTACTGGTTGGAGGAGATTACTGTAGGTTCATATGCCCCCTAGTGATTCCATCATGGAATGCAATCTTAGCATCTCAGCAAAACTTTCTTGATTTCTCTGAATACAGATGCTGAGTCTCTCCAGCGTTCTCTTTGTTTGTCACGATGTGGAGGTGCCGGTGTTGGACTGGGGTGGATAAAGTCAGAAGTCACACGACACCAGGTTATAGTCGAACAGGTTTAATTGAAATCACAAGCTTTCGGAGCGCTGTTCCTTTGTGAGGTGACTTGACGGAGGAGCAGCGCTCCGAGAGCTTGCGATTTCAAATAAACCTATTGGACTATAACCTGGTATCGTGTGACTTCTGACTCTTTGCTTTGTAACAAATTAGTACGACTGCTGTTTTGTTTTCCCCTCCAGTTGGTGAAATCGTCTCCCGGTCAAAAGGGGGTTTTTCGCTGACAGAGGGAACATTGAGGAAACAGCCATTCTGATGCTCACTTCACATTCCGACGGCGAGCCTGAGCATGAATAAGGCAGAGTCAGCCAAGACGAAGGAATAAATGGCGAGAATGGAAGCACTTGGGGAATGTCAAGGCGTATTTGTGGTTTCCAAAGCAGCTGCTGGGTCAGACATGAGATCCCAGTTCCGCAGTGATGGCTGCCAGCTCAAGTGAAGTCACTAACAAAACCAGCTGCTTCGCCCCATTATGTCCCAGTGTCAATAACAGCTGATGAGCTGGAAAATGGCAGAAACATGAATCATGTCCATATCCAGCGAAGCTTGTGATGTAAATGGAAATTGAGGGAGAGGGGTTACTGTGGGAGGCCATGGGAGAGAAAACAGGTCATCACATGCTAAAGTTTCCATCAGGGTGGATTCTTATCAAGAGGCCTATCAGAAGCAGGCACAATGGTGATGCGTAGAAAACAAAATACATAACTCAGGTTCTATCACTCCAGCAAATGCATCCTTAAATGTCCAAACCATGGATCAGACTCTAAGGCCACTGTTCTCACTTTTCCATAACTCCATGCCAAATCGTTCTGTAACTGGGCCTGCGAGGTGATTTAACTTTCCGAGTATTGGCACAACTAACAATAAAAATAAAGAGTTTGCATTTACATAGCAACTTCCACAACCTCAGGATGGCCCAAAGCTTCACAAAGCCAGTCATGTTATTTTGAAATGTAGGCTCTTTTGTAATTTAGGGCAATGTAGTAACACCAAAAGATGCTATTTCCAAACATCTATATTGCAAATTGGCTCCCTTCCTGTCCAATATCAAACCTGCTCTCACTATTCTACATTTCATGGCCTCTCATGCTGACACTCTGGATATTGCCTTGGCGATCTACATGATGCTTGTTTCATTTGTATCAAGCTGTGATCAGTTGTTTTCGTGCTTGGATTGTCAAACAAGCACACTTTGTGCTCTCAGAGATAGTAAGAACTGCCGATGCTGGAGTCAGAGATAATACAGTGTAGTGCTGGATGAACACAGCAGGCCAGGCAGCATCAGAGGAGCAGGAAAGCTGACGTTTCAGGTCGGGACCCTTCTTCAGAAATGGGGGAGGGGGAAGGGGGCTCTGAAATAAATAGAGAGGGGGTGGAGGGGCTGGGGAAGGTAGATGGGATGGTGATAGGTGAGTGCAGGTAGGCAGTGGTGGGGATTGGTCAGTGAGGTGGGAGGAGCGGATAGGTGGGAGAGAAGACGGACAAGTCAAGGAGGTGGGGATGAGAAGGAGGGTTGGTCATGGGATGAGGCCAGGGGTGGGGAGATTTTGAAGCTAGTCAAGTCCACATTGAGACCATTTGTGCACTGAACTATCATTTAACCTATTCCCAAATGCCCTTGGGCAGTCGTAGCCCAAGTGCTGAGGTTTGCAAAAAGGGGAAGGTGTGCACTTTGGTGTTGGATCTGTTGGTAGCGTTAGTAACGTCATTCAGTTAGTTAGTAACTGAATGTCACGTGCCCGGAGAGAAAGTGCCCAGAGTGTAGCAGCTCTCAGAGGAGTTTACTGCTCCAGTCATGGAATTGGGACATAAATGGTTAATCAGCCACATCCATATGCAGAATAGTGATTTTGTAACAGTGTACAGTTCAGGAGTGTCTGAGGGATCACAGTGTTTTAGTCTGGAGGATATGAGTTAGTTGGTGACAGTACAAGGGGAATAGAGGATATTTTTTTCGTAGCTGGTTGCTATGACCTGTAATGCAAGACCTAAAAGCACAGTGGAAACAGATTCAGTAACAATCCTGAATAATGAATAGAACATATGCACAAGAAGGCAGAAATTGCTGTTAGGACCAGCAGGGGAAGTAAAACTAATTTGATAAAAAATTTTTAAGGGATGTGGGCATTGCCAGCTGGGCCAACATTTATTGCCCATCCCTAATCACCCCACAGTGGTGGATATTCATCCTTTTCTTCTTTTTCTTTTTCTTTTCCAAAGAGTAGATTGTTTTACAGACAAAAACAGAAAAGCTCAGCAGGTCTGGCAGCATCTGTGGAGAGAAAGCAGAGTTAACGTTTCAGGTCGAGTGACCCTTCCTCCGAACTGATCATTTTAATTGCCCTGGAAATGGTGATAGTGAACTGCCTTCTTGAACAACTGTGTCCTTTTGGTAAAATTACACCCACAGAACCAGTAGGGAGGAATTTCCAGGATTTGAACCCAGCGACAGTGAAGACACAGTTCCTTTAAACACATGATGGGCTGAATGGCCACTTTCTGTGCTGAATGGCACTGTGATTTTATCAATTCTATCTAAACTGGATTAGCTCAGTGAATTACTTCCAATGAAAAAGTCCCAGGCCAGATTTCTTTTTGTATGTGAGACAACAAGGTGCAGGGCTGG